CAGCATTTGGGGAGGCCAAGACAAGAGGATTGCTTGAGGCCAGGAGTTTGAGACCAGTCTGGGCAATATAGTGAGACCCTATTTCTACACAAAATAATTTTGAAATTAGCCAGGCATGGTGGTGTGCGTCTGTAGTCCCAGCTACTTGTGAGGCTGAGGCGGGAGGATTGCTTGAGCCCAGGAATTGGAGGTTGCAGTGAGCTATGATCATACTGCTGCTCTCTAGGCTGGGTGACAGAGTGAGACGCTGTCTCTAAAGGAAAAAAAAAGTTGTGCTTCAAAGGACACCATCAAGCAAGTAAAAAAGACAACTGGGAAAAATATTTGCAAATCGTATCTGGTAAAGAGACTTGTATTCAGATTATATAAAGAACTCTTCAAACTCACCAATAAGACAAATAACTCACTTAAAAATGAGCAAAGCTTTTGAGTAGGTATTTCTCAAAGAAGATCTACAAATGGCCAATGAGCACATGAAAAGATGTTCAATATCATAGGGGCTAGGGAACTGCAAATCAAAACAATGGTGAGATCCCACTTCACTGCCCTGGGGGGTAGCTAGTGTTGGTGAGCAGATAGAGACACCGGATCCCTCCTTCACTGCCGCTGGGGACGTAAAATGGCATAGCCACTTTGGAAGACAGTCTAGAACTTTCTTAAAAAGTTAGAGTTACCATGTGACCCAGCAGTTCCACTCCTAAGTATATATATACTCAAGAGAAATGCAAACATATGTCCACACAAAAATTTGGACTTGAATATTCATAGCTTCATTATTCATAATAGCTCAAAAGTGGAAACAAACCAAATGTCCATTCACTGATGAATAGATAAACAAATTGTGGCATATCTGTACAATGGAATATTTGTTATAAAAAGAAATGAGGTACTGATATACACTATAGCATAGATAAACTTTAAAAACATTCTTAATGAAAGAAGCCATTAGAGCAGATGACTTTGTAAGGAAAAGAAAAAAGAAAAAAAGAAGCCAGTTCCCAAAAGGCCACATTTTGTATGATTCCCTTCACATGAAATGCCCAGAGTAGGCAAGTCCATGGAGACAGAAAGCAGAGTGAGGGCTGCCAGGGGCTGGGGGAGAGGGCGTGGAGAGCGATTGAGAATGGGTGTGGGGTTTCTTTGTGGGATGATGAGAATGTACTGGAATTAGATAGTGGTGATGGTTGCACAACTCCGAATCTACTAAAAACCACTGGATTGTACACCTTAAAGTGGTGAATTTCATGGCATATTGTATCTCAAAGACATTACTCAAAGAGCATAATGAAAATTAATAAATACAGCAACAATAAGATTGTGTCAATAGCAAACAGGAAAAAGGGCAAACACTCCTACACCACCATTTTCAAAAAGTGAAAGGTATCGGTTAAGAGGGAAAAATAAGAGATTTTGAAAAATCTCGAGAAGTAACTGGAAGTTTCTGGTCCTCATTTACCCTGGGAAAATGCTCCCTTTTAATTTGCAATGTCCTATCCTCCTCTCCTTTTGCAGACCTGAATAATTACTGTTGAGAATTCCATCCTTCTGGAAAAACGAAGTAAGTGCTAGTTTGGCAGAGAGCCCTCTGTGTGTCTTGCAGGCTTGTGACATCACAGGAGGCCTGTACTTGAAGGTGCCTCAGATGCCCTCACTTCTGCAGTATTTGCTGGTAAGGAAACAGCAGCAGTGACCCTAATGCCTTGACTGAAATGTGGCCTCTGTGTCCTGGGGAACGGATGGGAGCAGATGGCTGGTGCTAGTAATCTGGGGGGAAAGGAGTAAGTGGGTGGCCTTGGAGTTTCAAAGCTGAGGAGGGCGGGCGTCCGGTCATTTTTTCCCTTATTTTAAATAGAAGTCCCTTGTTTTTTTTTTTTTTTTGGAGTAAGATTTTTCTAATGTCATTCAACA